ACTTACTATCTGTTTCCCAGCTGAAATGATACCTGACACAAGCTCAGAAGGAATTAAAAAAACATCCGTAGTGGAGAACACTCTCAATCCTACTTACAATGAAATATTTACATTTCACATTCAATCGGAAGAACTTGCAGATGCTAAACTACGATTACAAGTATGGGATAAGGATATCTTCAGTAAAGATGATTTCATGGGAGAGAGAATCATCGACTTGGGAAGATTCAATTTTTCTGAAGTAGTGACTAATTGGTTTGATCTTGAAGCAGAGGTGATTTTTTTTTAAATACTACGGTATCTCTATTCAGCGTGTAGCTGTTAGAGCCATTTAGTAAATACCCTGTAATGACGAAGGTGGCAAGTGAATACATCAATGTTGATAATATCTGAATATATAACAAATATTTTAGACCGTTTGAATGTAATTGTTAAAACACTTGAAGTTTGCGAAATTTTCACAAATCAAACTCGGTGCATTGAATCATACGATCATTAGTGAAAATACAGCTTAACTTAATAGCTATATACCCCCGGTAGCTAAAAAACATGCGCTTGACAGCAACTATATATATATATATATACTACTCGCTCGAATACCAGGAAATTTGATTTCATACAGCCATTATCATATCGATTATATGCAGGATTTATGAGTTTTAAATCCAATAGTTCTCCACTAATATCAATGATAGGATAAAATAATAGTTATCATGCTATTGACTATTTATTGTCCGTTTCTGTCAGACTGATTTGAGCATTACTGGTGACTTGGAAGTTAGTTTAAACTACAGACTACCACAGACATTGCTAGTGACAGTAAATCGGGCTAATGACTTGGTAAGAAGAGATCCTGGTAGAAGTGCTGATCCATATGTCAAAGTATCCATACCCGGTATACCAGAAATCCACAAGACAAAAGTATGTTTTTTGGTCATGGGGAATATTGTTCTTTCTGGTACCATATTTGTTCCATTAATAGGACATGTACTTGCGTAAAAGACGAGTATGTTTATGGTTTATGGTTTAAGACATATTTCAATAATCCAATTTCTTGACATGTTGTAGCATCATGATTATCCATTGCACATTCTGATCAGAATTTGTACTATATTTATGTGGCATGGACCCAGTATGAGCTTTGTGACTACCGTAATAATACAAGGTTATCACCCAATCTCTAGTTTGTGCTATTATAATTATATACATTACTACAGCGACATCATCCTTACGTTGAATATTTTTTTCAGATTGCCAGTGGTACACTGAATCCTGTATGGGATGAAACTTTTGAATTTGATGTATCTCAAGAAGAACTTGGTGAAAGGTAGTCATGATGCTTTTTAATTCCCACTTAGTGTTGTATTCACTTATTGTAATCACCATGGCAACACACCACATGGCAATAAATCCTGAAATAAGCACTGAAGCTAGCCTATACAGAAACAAGTCTAATGGCCAAATCAACAACTCAACATTTACATGCCGTCATGTTTTAATGCTTGCTTGACTTACTTTATTTAAAATAGGGGAGAGGTTTCTAATTTTTATTTAGGATTATGCTTGATAATAATTCTTTTGAACTTCCAAAAAACTAAAATCGCTATGATGCTTACAGGGACCCTTGAGATGTGTACTGCATATCATGCAAAGTATGAATATTTTATTCTCAGCTTTCCTGCCATTTGTAATTGACTTTTAAATTTAATATTAGCAGAAAATGAGTTTACATTTATACTGAAAATTTAAATAAAAAAACAAGTTTGCTTTTGTCTCCTTCTGATGATGCAAACATTCCATATAGTTATATACTGTGAAGACACTTTTAGCAGATTTGGCCCCAAAAATAGGATGTCCACTAGATTTCAAAGTTTAAGCCCAATAATTCGTGTCATCTCTATACCTCATGCCCAAGATCAGAGTTGATCCTTCATTTATTCTGAATAAAGATTTGAAGATAGCCTTGGGCATTCAGAACCATGCAGTTATGCCCTTCACACTTGTCAAGACCAATACTAGTTTGCAGGCAGAAAATAATCTTATTTTTTTAAACAAAGGAACAGGGGTGCAGCACCCTCATGTCATGGCCATGCGTCCCCTTACACTGGGGAGCAGATCCTCTGGCAACCATAAAATTCTGATTGACCCAGGGATCACATGTGGCGACAGTCTTGAACTGTGACCTGTCTGATAGTAATTTTGGTCTCAAGGAAGCCATAGAATGCTTCATTTTAACTTAGAATTAATAAAAACTTCACACCCTGGGAGGGAGAACCCTATCTCCCCCACTTGGTGGTGTTGCTGAATTGTAGTGCTCCCTCTTGCAGTTTTTTCTAGAAAAACTCCTGTATTTATTAACATGCATTTTTTATTTTCCAGGTATATTGTGTTTCACGTCATAGATCGTGATATTGTGAGCGATACTGATTCAATGGGGCAGATTTGTTTTGATTTGGATAATTTTGATATTGAAGAAGGATTTAGAGGGAAATTTCCACTAGCTGACATGGTAAGCCACTTGTGATTAGTAAGGCAATTATAGATATGTTAGAAATAGCTTCTGTACGCACAGGCAACTAGAAGTATTTAAATTATTCAAAAATTGTTGGCACTGTATGATGCATATAATCTTCAGAAATGAGATCACTAGTTAGTTTGACATATAATTCCATCTGGCCGAATAGTTATTGAGATATGAATTGAAAACCAAATTAAATATGCATATGAGTCATTAAAATGCTTCATAAATTATCTCAACAAAATGCCAACACATGTGCATTTGACCTGATGGATGAAATGGCTGCCTGTTCACGAAAGTAAGCAGTCAATTAAGTTTAAACCACACTTCTGATTGATTGGCCAAACAAATTAGCAGATATTAGGGAAACTCAATCAATTTAATATGCAAATGAAGCAATATTTACAGGACAATGTTCATTAAACTAATTAGGTTTATAAATTATCTTGTAACAATACCTCAGTAATGACAAATTCGTCAAAATGGCGACTCATGAGATAAAATCTCAAATAAGCTATAAACATTAGGACACATTGACCTACGTACAAAATTTCACTGAAATCTACTGAGTTCTTTATGTACTGTAAAATACTTTATATTTGCTTGGAATTAATTTTCGATGAAGGTATGATTCAGTGAAAATAAAATCAAGCGAATATCAATATGCCTTTTTTCTTATATTTTACATTCAACTCACCAAAAAATAAGTGAAAATAAATTCGATACAAAACACCAAAAAAGTGCTTTCAGCAAAAATTAATTCCAGCTAAAATAAAGTCTTTCGGAACAGACATTCAAACAGGGTAAAGTCGATGTCTCCAATCATGTACTTGCTTTGTACACTGGAGCCAAAAGTCAGAACTCGGAAAATATTCTCGGTAATGTTAGTACCTGGTGCATACTATGATATTCACATTGGGCTATTCTTGTTATTTCTACAGAAAAATAATAATCGTGTGAGGACAAAATGGGCCCAGAAAGCCCTTGTTCAGGAATTCAAAGAAGCCATGTATGCCCATGCAGTGTATGGAAATCCAGGATTTCTCTTCCAGAAACAAGATGGAAATAAGGTGAGGGGGGTCAGCCATCTTCTCAATGAGTGAAGCGTTGACGTGGTGTACTGACCTGCTAGACATTTAGATCTTTTACAATAAACATATTCTATAATAAAGCCATCAGTGCACATTTGAGGGATAGGGAGGGGCACTGCAGTTGATTTTATTTTACAAGTCTTAACATACTGTGAGGCATTAATTTGGAATAATGAGGTTTTTAATTTATAACAAATACCTTCCCCTCATCATGCACATTGGTTGAAAATGTGCTTCACACATTTACATTGCAATTGTGCATACTGGTAAAATTCAGAGTTTTAAAGAATGTTTTGTTGATTTAAGTAAACTTTTAATGCATGTATTTGGAAGTATTGTTTAATAAATGTTAATTGTTGAAGATGTATCTTTCTTGTTGGGGTATTAAATAATCTTAGTACAAAAAGGAAGGTAAAACCTCGTCGCTGGGCTATTTTTCTATTTTCTTTTTTCATTTTGGCCTTTATTTCTAATGCTTGGTCAAAATGCCCCAATATTGGAAATATCAACATGACAGTTGTGAATTGAATACACATTTTGTTCACCTCCACAATGCACCTAACATCACTGACAGTGAATGCAATTACAACTAATGACAGTACAAGTTAAATTATAATGGAATAACCCACCTTTGCAATGTATGATGCATTACCAAATCTGTTTATACTTTATGTTGAAGCTTGAGGAAGCTTGAGGAACACAAACAAATGATAAAACATAAATTTTTGTTTTTCACAGGTGTTAAGAGTAGAGAGCAAGAAAGCAGGTACGACTACCAAGTTGCGCACTGTTGATGGTGTGCCACTGTAAATGCAACCCACTCTACACACCAGTTTGAATGCAAGGTGGATAGTTAAACATTCCAGAATGATGTTTTAATATTACTTTTTTGTACATGTATATATAATATGTTGATATATATTGTACATAGACAATGCATATTTTTATATAATGTTAAACTTTTCTATAGTTCATACTTTATTGGTACCGATGTATATATATAAATATGTTACTTAGTATGCTAACTAGCCATAGACACATAAATAATAAGGAAAAGGTTAACAATGATTATCTCAGTGTCCAATGGCACCTAGTGTTGATGGGGGATTATTGTGATTACCAGCGTCTGTCTGTGCTGAGTTATAACGGACACAATTCAACACACATCATTTTTGAAACAGTTCTAATGGAAATCAGATGTGAATTGCCTGCTGATTTGCATATTTATTACAGAATACCCTTCGCACGTCCGTCCATACACGCACACGCACACGCACACGCACACGCACACGCACACGCACACGCACACGCACACGCACACACACATACACACACACACACACATACATACATGACTAAAAGAATCGACACTCCTCATTTTGAATTTGGTGATACCCTTGCAGTGGAAACAGATTTGAATAACATGTTATTTTGCTCATTGAAAATAGTATGAAACTTGTTTGTTCCCTTTGTATAAAATATATGGTAGAAAAATTAATACCAATAATTACAAAAGTCATAATTTACCCATAGTCCTTTGCTGGAGAATCAAGATGATTGTCTACATAATTACTGATGAAAAGTGACATAAAAAAAAAATGTAAATTGCACTCCCCTATATTTGTGGAGCTTCTTCTTCTGGGAGCATTGTGTCTTCTCCTTTAATATGTGTGACAGGCATTTCCTACTGATGTGTTATCCCCTGCCCTACTCCCCAATCAAGATACGATAGTAAAGAGTTGCTGGTACACCACTCCAATCCTGAAATGAAAACCGTGACCCCCTACTACCGGTACTCTACTAATAATGGATCTCTGATTGTTTTCTTAAAAATTTACTTGCATACTTTTATTGTTGTATATAATATCAGAATTATGCATTCCATTTCCACAGTATCACAAAATAATTTACTGATCTAACATGACCTGTGTTGATGAAATACTTATTCCATAAGTATATGTCTGTGCTTGAGGTATTAATAATCATAAATTGTTAACCCCCCCCCCCCCCTCCAGTGTGTCAATTTGTTTTCTCTCTTGTATTTTAAATGAAATTTATATAAATTCAGAGCTGGACTCTGGTGGCTGAAATTGCATTTTTTGAATTCCTTAACTAACATCTTTATATTTATATCCATTGTTATATTTTGTATTTTTTTTTGTATATTCTGCTTTAAACTGTATTCTATTTTATCTGCACCTCACAAGGGGATGTCAAAGTATTTACAATGCATCAAAATATTATAAAATTTATATAAAAAATTGTTTATTTACAATGTGAATAGAACTATGTATGTATAAGAAATAGTGCAACCTGTTTGTCAGAATAAATTACCTTTTTGAAATATTTGTATTTTCAATGACGAAGAAATAAAATTGTTATTTCTAAAATTAAAGTGTTAAATATTTTGATTTCTGTCGTTATCTGAATTCAAACTGTCTTGAATCAATGATTTATCATGGTTTTATCTGATCTGGGCGAGATTCAATGGAAATTAAGTCTCAAATTCATTAATTTAAAAATTGCACCCATGATAATTTTACACAATATTTTATCGTGCAGAAATGGTATGATCGTCTCTGCATAAACATACCCTTCATTGTTTTGTACAATTAACCTTTAATCATCAAAGCCAAAATCCAAGCCTATTGACAATTATGTTTACGTTTCTCCAATTTCTTGTACATGTGCAGATAAAAAAATGAAAGAAACTTACAATCATTAGACTGGAAATAAAAACGTCAAAAATCCAGATTAAACAATAACAAACAAGAGGGGGGAAAAAAGAACATCAACAGCCCCCTGTGAGATTCGAACTCACGACCCCTGGTTTACAAGACCAGTGCTCTAACCACTGAGCTAAGGAGGCGTCTCTTGCCAGGTTGCCTCCAAGTGTCAATAAATATCTTACACATAGACTCATAATTTGCACGAAAAGTATCTGTATAATTTAAACGAATACTAGCATGTGTCCCGGTATTTATGAACGATTTGATTATTTTTTTCAAATTCGTTGTTGCTGTAACAGAGGCTGCAATGACCTGGGTTACAAGTAAAATTCGTTACAATCACTGCGCAATCAAAGGTACATTTAACTAAATCCAGTAGAATTGTCCTTGATTTAACGACTTCACGTTATTCCAAAAAAACGCAAGATTCACACGGTTTTGGTTAATCAACGGTTACTAGTAACCGTCGTTAGTCCAACTTTCCTTTCCATCATAATCAACGGGTATTGTGCCCTCTACCGACGATGAATGTACGCCTACCGTAGATGGCGTAATACAAGTTTCATCCTGTGTCTACAAACTCGACTCGTTTATTGTCAAAGTTTTTTTATTACCTGTGTGAAGGAAGGAAGATTGTGCTAATCAAGGCCACAGAAACAGCAGCTCCTCAATTAAAAAAACAAACAAATCTTATCAAATCTTTGTCAGGTCAAGCCAAATGCAATGTTTTCACCACTGAGCACTTTACGAGGCACGGAATGTAAATTTATTATTTTGTGTATACTAGAAAAAAAACGTACTAATAATTCAAAATTTCGTACGTATTGGAGGCCGTGGCGTGTGTGTTTTAAAATGATGTGTGCATTTAAAAAACATAGTTGAACTCTGGTGACCTTGCCCTTTGTTATATAATATAATTCCCTTTATCATAGTTTGTTTCAATATAAATATGCATTGTCATAATTAATTTTGAATACAAACAAGTTTTGGGGTTGAACCAACAGTGGGGAATCAGTCTACCGAATGTCCTTAAAAGATGTAAATATTTTACAAAAACATTGGTGCCTTATTTGTTTAATTATTTTAAGGAACATAATTTCCAGCTTTATTGAAATAATTGAGATATTTAGAATAAAAACAAATGTCTCATTTCAAAAAAAAGTGCTGCATTTAGATGTGAATAGATTCATAAA